GACAGAAGGTCAATAATTCAATAATGCGTGCAAATACATGAAAAAGCAATTCAAAGTTGCCATTTTTCCTTCTCAAGCATGTCCCTACAAGCTCAGAAATGTTTCTCTTCCCTGCTGACAGGACTCCTCAGACACAGCCTAACTCCACTTCATGAATATTCCAGGACATGTCAGAGGAGAACAGCAGCTATGACGGTCACACAACCCTGGAATGACTTCATAATAAATCCCATGATTCCTCTCTGCCTGTGAAGCATGAGTACATGCACCTGGGGCTCGTCCCGGCAGATACCCAATGACAAGTCTCTGCGTTCCGATGCGACAGCCACTTATTGAACAGCAAAGCAATGAATCTATCCCATCTGTCCATTGCTAGTGAAGATATACATGCACTAGCCATGTTTTCTGTAATGAGAAGCCGGCTTATTTCGAAGACGGTGTAAGGCATGAAGGACCATTTATTGACACGCTCTGAAGTGTACTGTTGACTTACTGTGCTTGACTTCTTCCCCTCTGTTTGTGGTCCTGAGGTGAGAACAGCAACTGATTACAGAGCAATAAAGAGGGATGAACTCCATTATGAACTCAATTGGTTTTGTGTTAATTACGTCTTATTTCAATAACTAATATCGGTCGTAATATTGTTCTAAATGCTCAGGGGAGCAATAACTGACAGTTGGCGAGATACACAACATATTAGCAGAGCTGCCGCTGGAACTGAAGGATCACGTCCGATCAGTAAGACTGGTTGCCTCATGCACTTATCCCCAAACTAATGCATTCTAACGGATTCTGTGTAGCATCTTGGGTTTAATTGACCTGAGGTTAATCACACTGCTGACCTTTGAGAGATGACAGAGGAAGGTACAAGATATACTGCACATTCGCTCTGACCTCCGGACAACAAGCAATATGTTCTCTAAAAACAACCCTTTTCATAATACAGCTCTAATCCCATTAGCAATTCAACAGAATACGATTCCGGCTGGTTTACAAAGCCATTTATCAAACCGGCTTGTAAAGAACGAAATACATTTGGTGCACAAAGAAAATTAACTAACTGTGGCTCGGTGCATCTGTGCATATAACCAAGAGAACTTCAAGAACAAAAGGGAGGCCACCAGACCACAATTCTCATGAGGAATGATAATGACAGTCCTTGAAGCACACTGCTGACCAACTACACGTTTCCTAACTTTCTTTGCCACCTGCTGGAGCTCTATTCTGCTTCAACCTGCTTTAAAAGATCAGCTATTGTTCTAGTCCCCAGGGACAGTAAGAAACTTTAATGACTTCAAACTCATGACCATTCGGTGGTCCTATCGACAATTGAGCAACTTGTTCTGACCTACTTTGAAACAGCCTGCTGGACCCCATAAAGTTATTCGACTTGGACAGGATAGTTCATATCAGGGGTCAAGTCGGGCTTTACTTCTTGTCACAACAAGTCACACCTCTGAAACCCTACTGTAAGATTTATAACCAAATGACAACCTTGAATGGGAGGTAAACACTAAACTAGCCTCAGTGTGGTGGTCTAGATCTACACTTGAATTATTGAGTCTGCCCTCACTTCACCAATAACAATCTGTAACAGGCCACTCGCAAAGAAAAATGCAATATTCAACACATCATCCGTTCAGTGGAAAGAATCAGAATATAGTCAGTTATTTCTTCTTAAAGGGATAGTTCATCCAAAAATGAAAATTCTGTCATCATTTACTTGCTCAAGTTTCGTTCTTCTGTTGATCAGAAAAAGATGATATTTTGAAGAATGTTGGTAACCAAACAATTGCTGTTATCCACTGACTATGATGATGACAGAATTTTCATTTTTAGGTTAACTATCCCTTTACTGTAGCTTCTTCGAACTGAGGTCCTGAAAGCCATCAGACATGGCACCTACCTAACACACTATCCATCACCCATTTGAAACACTGACCTTCAAGACCAGCCTTTTTCGATGTTGAACCTTAATTTTAGTTACTAGACAAGTATCTGCGTTTATTTCTGTATAAGAGAGCAATGAGTGTGAATGGACAGTTCACCCCAAAATGATATGGCAAAGTGACTATTCACACTCCAATGATGAGGACTGGTTCCATTGAAAAAACACTGTAATTTGCTGCACACCAAGCTACTCTTATGCATAATGACATCTGGAAGCATGCAGGTAATTTCTATCATCTCATCGACTGCCCAGGAAAATATTCCAACCGCAGACAGAGTGAATCCATATTCCCTGCAATCCTGCTGGAAGTAGAAAGCAGTTGACATGAGGAAAAAAGGAAGATGAGAGCAAAAATAGGGTGAAATGTTGATCAGGAATGCATTGCAGCCCATACATGCTCTTTGGATGGAGCTGAAGGGGTGTTGATGACTATAAAGTGGGCATGTCGAGAGTCTTAAGGTCCCTATGGTAGTAACAAGTCCTATTTTTTGTCTTACAGTCATGGTTTATTTCTGAATTTCCTCTATTGCCTTCTCCACTGCAAATATTCTACTTCTCCATTCACCACCCTCTTATTTTCTGTCTGTCTCCGTCACACCCACATAGACCTTGTGGAGTATAGTGAACTCATTCAACCACCTACAAATGCACATACACATATGGAGCCCAAGTTAAGTCTTAGCACTCAGTAGAATGAAAAGAGAGGTGTTGTGGATGATTTATGTGTTTGATTTCATTCACTACATCTGAGCACACACTTTTCAGATGAGAGTATTACATACGCCAGGGCAAAGGGTAACAGTCGGCGAGGAGTCGATGTATATCATCTGAACATCCCCAAACTAAGTCAGGAAAGCATGTACAGGGAGTAACGCATTGACCCTGATCAAACCACATAATAATTAGCATTAGCATTTTCATTTCCAGATAAAATGTCCAAAACATAACACATTGCTCCAATAAAGACTTGAAAATGACAACCATTGACTGATGTAACTGTTGTCTCCGATTAGCAGTTTCAGAGCATTATAGAATCATTCCGGGTCAAACTCAACTAGAGGTCCCCGCTTCAAATTTTTGATTTTGCCAAAATATAAAATGTCATGGATGAATATTTACTTATATCCACTGTTTTGTAGAGGGGGGTCAAAAAGGCAATTTTCACCTGAGATTCAGAGCCAAATTACAGGGGGTTAAAAATGACTTCAGAAAGATGGCAGCACCATAATGTTACTTTTAGTTAGTTACTTAGTACTTAGTTACTTTTAGTGCATTTCTAGTTTCAACATTACTTATTCTTCAGACATTCTGCTTTAAATACAATAAGTAGCGGCTGTATACATAGTAAGCAACATTTGGTTTTAAACAACTGAAAATGGGTAATATTCAACAGCCTGAATATGGAGCCTCAATGAGACCCCCATTTCTCTGGGACTGAATGATGTAGGGCCTTGAGAATGAAGATTCCAAAATAAAAATTTATTAAGAACTAGAATTTAAAATCATATTCATATATCTTTAATACTTCTTGAGTTATAGGCATGCAAAATTTGAAAAAATTATATTTATGGCACTCAAGTATGTTCAATGCAGTTGTTTTGACAGAAGGAAACAAGATACATCTCTAGATTTCAACAATATTTGTTCTTCAGACATTCCTCTTTAAATGAAAATAATTATCATATTTATGCAAAATGACCCACATTTGGTTTTTGACCACTGAAGATGTGTACAATTTAACAATTTACTCCTGGAGCCATATTGAAATTTGAGTATCTTTGGTACTGAACCATATAGGGCCTTAAAAATGAAGACACCAAAAGGAAAGTTTGTTAAGGCTCAATATCTAAAAGGGCATTAAGATATATTTAATACATCTTGAGTTACAGGCATGCAAACTTTGGAGAAAAAAATTGAAAATTGATATTTCCCCATTTTTGAATGGTCACCATTGACACATAATGCAACAAAGATTGCTAAAATCAACAGATTCTACTAATAGACCTACCAATCTCTGTGTAAAAGTAACATTATGATGCTGCCATCTTTCTGAATTCATTTTAACCCCCTGTAATATGGCTCTGAATCTCAGGTGAAAATTGCCATTTTGACCCCCATCTACAATATAGTGGATTACTCAGTAAATATTCATCCATGACATTTAATATTTTTGCTTTTATCACTATACATGTTGATCTTTCTTCAGAAAAAATATTAGCAAAATCAAATATTTGAGCCGGAGAAGTTTCTGAAATTTGGCTGATTTGACACAGAATTACCCTATATTCTTCTGAAAAGCCACGACAGACATTTTAAGACTTCAAGCTCGTATATGCAATTTCTTTCTGCACAACGCTTAAATAACAGCTCTGAAAAAAAGGAAAACCAAAAAACAAGCATCATTAAGTCCAGTGGCAAGTAAAGCTTCATGTAAACTGTCCCGATCCCCAGAAGACAAAAATCCCTGCACATACTCAGGTAATGAGAGCAATGGGAGGGAGGTATCTGTGTTTATGTAAAATTAGCTCAGTTATAATGATGTAGCGGTGAAGAGACCATCGTTAGAGAGGTCACTAAAGAAACCAGTAAGCAGAGGAGACATACAAACAAGCGGGTGAAAAGTGTATTTGTGCAGCTCCATAATGGTGCTTCAGCAGCAGCCATCTCAACAATCTAAACAGGGGTTACTCACTAGAGGAGTGCAGGGCGTCCAGTACTCTGGGTTCAGCTCGGCTCTAGAGCGAAGGTCCAGATAGTCGGGGTTCAGTTCGGTGCGGGCGCGGGTAAGCGTTCCCTTAAAAGCCAAGAAAAGGGGGGTGGGGGGTTAAAAGTCCACTCAGGAAATTTGTAAACAACTTTCTCAAAGATGGGAAATGAGTGATGATATGACTGGAATGAGAAACGTGTCAGGAGGAACCAGAAAGAGCAGAGGAAGATGGACATGGACCTCTCAGAGAAGAATAAATGGAAGAAACACTGGTTATCCGTATGGATACTGGATATGTCATATGTTAATTTCTTCAAGTTTTATATTCAAATTTGTAGTCAATTAACTTTCAATCTTTAAAAACACAAATAATTTTATAACATAGTTAAAATATTAAAATGAATATCCACTTTGCACACCGTACACTGTACAATGTTTGATTATTTGATAAAACAACTGATTGATTGATTGATTGATTGATTGATTGATTGATTAAAAAAACAGCGATCATCAGCCATTTCTAGGTCATCAGTCAATATATAAATTATATTGAAATAATTATTGCCTTATCACATCTGCCACAATTGTAATATCGATACTCAATATTCTGGCCAATGTTGAAAAAACAAACAAACAACAATTCGCTTTTTTTTTTTTACAGGGGTTACTCACTAGAGGAGTGCAGGGCGTCCAGTACTCTGGGTTCAGCTCGGCTCTAGAGCGAAGGTCCAGATAGTCGGGGTTCAGTTCGGTGCGGGCGCGGGTAAGCGTTCCCTTAAAAGCCAAGAAAAGGGGGGTGGGGGGTTAAAAGTCCACTCAGGAAATTGGTAAACAACTTTCTCAAAGATGGGAAATGAGTGATGATATGACTGGAATGAGAAACGTGTCAGGAGGAACCAGAAAGAGCAGAGGAAGATGGACATGGACCTCTCAGAGAAGAATAAATGGAAGAAACACTGGTTATCCGTATGGATACTGGATATGTCATATGTTAATTTCTTCAAGTTTTATATTCAAATTTGTAGTCAATTAACTTTCAATCTTTAAAAACACAAATAATTTTATAACATAGTTAAAATATTAAAATGAATATCCACTTTGCACACCGTACACTGTACAATGTTTGATTATTTGATAAAACAACTGATTGATTGATTGATTGATTAAAAAGACAGCGATCATCAGCCATTTCTAGGTCATCAGTCAATATATAAATTATATTGAAATAATTATTGCCTTATCACATCTGCCACAATTGTAATATCGATACTCAATATTCTGGCCAATGTTGAAAAAACAAACAAACAACAATTCGCTTTTTTTTTTTTTTTTTTTTTTTTTTTTTGGTCCATTTTAATGGTTTAATCAAAAACATATCTAATTAATTGAATTCAT